ACCCGCCCCGGAGTCGCGGAGCTCTCCGCCCAGCCTCGCGCCGCGCCCCGCGCGCTCCCCCGTGCCCGCGCTTTCGCGGCTGGCTCCTCCCCGCTCTCCGTCACCATGGTGAAGTCCCAACTTATTCCTCGCCGCTTGCGAGGCCCTCTCCGCTCAGGCCAATGCCATTGCTCTCCATTTGGGTTTCCCCGAGGGGACCACCCCTTCCTCGATCATTTCTTTATTGCCAGGGTCTTGCAAAGAGTCCGCAGCCACCCATTCACTCACTCATTTGTTCATTTAAAGCTGTGTTTCCCGGGGCACCTGGGTGGCTCAGATGGTTGAGCGTCTACCTTCGGCTCGGGTCATGATCCCAGGGTCCTGGGATCAAGCCCCACATCGGGCTCCTGGCTCAGTGGGGAGCCTGCATCTCCTTCTCCCTCTGCCTCTCCCGCTGCTCATGCTCTCTCTCTCTCTCTGTCTCAAATGAATAAAAAATCTTTAAAAAAATAAATAAATAAAGCCATGTTTCCCAAAGTGTGGAGTTTGGCACTGGTGGTGCCACAAGGCAATTTTAGGCGGCACAAAGGCCACGAACTGACTTATGTCTTTTAAAAGAACGGCTCTGGCTACTGTGTGGAAAATAGGCCATAGGGGAGGTGATGCGGAGGCAGAAAGACGCCAGGAGGGAGGCTACCGGGTTGGCTTGGATCCGGTTGATAACAGATGAGGTGGTGAGAATTATTGGGTTCTTGGGTATATCTTGGGGGCAGATGAAATCTAATATATGGTGAATTACATCGTGTTCATGGAGAAGACCTCAAATAACCTATAAATATAATGCAATTCCAAACAAAATTCTGACAAATCTAGTGTAGGAGTGTGTATGTACAACTTGATGACTTTAAAGTGTATATGGAAAAATAAAGAACCAGAAATAGCCAAAACAATTTTGAAGAAAAAGAGTAAGGTGGAGTGACTCATCCTATAAATACAGGGTGGTAGTGTGTTCGTGCAGAGATCAACAAATAGCTTAGTGCAGCCACAGAGGGATACCTGACATGGACCCTGCTCATATAGAGATGTGCTCTGAGCTGGCAACCCAAGAGAGGGGGCAAAGATAAAGATTCACTAAATAATACTGGGACAATTGACTCTCTACCTTATATCGCATACGACTCAGCTCCAGATGGATTAAAGACCCGGGTATGAGAAACAAACTCCCAAGTTTTTAGCAGACAATGTAGGAGGGTATGTTTATGACCGTGGGATAAGGAGACATTCTCAAATAAATACAAAAAGTACAAAATATAAAGGAAAGATTGAAAAGTTAAGCCTCAGGAAAACTCAAAAATTGAGTTTAGTTTAATAGCTCACCAACGATAGCATAAGAGAAGTGAGAAGTTCATGGACTGGGAGGGAATATTTTCAATGCATGGATGTGGTAAAGAATACCTATGCAGAAAATATTACAAAAAACCCTTTACAAACTAGTAAGAAGAAATAACCCAATGGAAAGACATACAAAAATCAGGAAAAACAAATGGCCCCCATACATAAGTATAGATATTCAAACTGGCCAGTGATTTGGGCACTCAGCATGGGTTTCACAAATAGTTTTTTGGTGGCATTCCTTATCCTCAGAATTCCTCTGAATGTTGAACCAGTTTCTGTTTGGCTCAAAAAGATTAAAAAAAAAAAAATCCCTCCCTCACAGAACTTATTGGCAAGGATATAGACATGTAAACAAATAATTACAAGAAATGATTACAATTCAATATAAAAATTGCAAAAGTATAATGTGGGCTGTTTGACTAAGGGCTATGAGGACGTGGAGGAGGGCCTGCCTAGCTTGCCTGCAGAATGGGGTTGCAAGAGACAGAGAGCAGAGGCAGAGTGTATCAGTTATCTGTTGCTGCAGTAATGTTACAGCAGAACCATAAAACCTCAAGAGTATGTACAACAAGGAACATTGATTTTTGTTCCCCAGTCTATGCTGACTGGCAGTTGTGCTGATGGAAGCTGGGCTCAGCAAGGCTTACCCATGTGTCTGGTCAGCTGTGGGCTGTCGGTGGCTTTGTGGATCTTAGCAGGGCTCTCTCACTCTCTGGGGCCTCAGCTGGGACAAGTAGACCGACAAGGGAGTGGAGGAGGGAGAGAGGGAGGGAGAGAGAGATAAAGGAAGGAAACTCAAGGCCTCTTAAGGCCAACGCTTGGGACTGACATGCCTTCACTTTCACTCATCCTACGGGTCAAACCAAATTACAAGCCCGGCCCAGATTCAGGGGAAAATAGATTTTATCTCTTGATGGGAGGAGCTGTAAAATGACATTGCAGATAGGTGGAGATATACAGGCAGGTGGAGAACTGGGGACATCCTTTACCAAAAATTCCATCATTTGTGTTTCTTTGCCTTCTCAGCATCCTGATTTATTTTGGGGGAGCTCCCCCGTCTCACTTCATTTGATCCTGGTCAGATTGTCAATCATTTATCTTCTCACACCCGCCACAGTCCTGGGTACAAGACCCAAGCTGGATCAAACAGAATCCTGTCCTGAATTTATATGTGGACTCATCTCGTGCCCCTCCCCTGACCCTATTGGGGTTATGGAGCTGGGAGAATGTGGATCAGGGGCTGTCTGTCGGGGTGGCTTTCTGCCACTCTGAAGAAGAGAAACTAAGTTGAAAGATGCAAAAAAGACAGAGTTCAGATGACATCATTTCAGAACCTGGCTCAACCAACCTGGGCTCCTGGGCTTCCAGTTATGGGAGCCAATAAAGCCACCCGCATACCCCTCCTTTTTTTTTTTAATCACAAAGCTCTTTCCAGTTAGATTTCTATTCCTGATTGACTTGGGGTGAGGTTCACAGAGATGGTGACATCTGAGCTGAGTGCAACTAAATTTAAAAAAGTAGGAGGCAGACGGAGGAAGTAGAAATGAGCTGAGGATGTAAGAATGAAAAGTAAGTGTCCACATGTGTTCCTCCTACCATTGTTTCAAATAAACAGCCTTTGGAAACTAAGATAGTACGGAAGCTAAGACAGTATTTTCCAGCTTTGTTGATGAGGAGGTGGAGTGCTGGGGAATTCTTGCTAGGCTTGCATCAACAAAGGTTGCAAAACCCTTGCGTTTTAATATGGACTTTGAACCGTTCAGGGCATGGCAAAAATAAAACAATGCTTAAGTCAGCAAAGAAGGGGATACATTTTTGAGCATACTAAAAGTTCAGTGAGCTGAAGAAAGATCTTGCTGAGTATATCACAAGATGAAGTTTTTCTCACAATAGAACAGGGAATTTGGTGAGAATCAATTTTTTTATATTAGCATTCTAGTGAAAACTTTAAGTTCCAGATTTTATTAGGCAGGTATTTATGATGACAAAATAAATACACAATCGTATGAATTTGAAAAGAATGGGAAAGTTCATGCACACACTCCATGCTCTTCCTCAGCACTGTCCCTGATAGATTTTTTTTAAGTTAAGTTTTCTTTTTTCTAAAGATTATATTCATTTATTTGACAGAGAGATACACAGCGAGAGAGGGAACACAGGCAGGGGGAGTGGGAGAGGGAGAAGCAGGCTTCCCGTGGAGCAGGGAGCCCGATGCGGGGCTGGATCCCAGGACCCTGGGACCATGACCTGAGCCGAAGGCAGATGCTTAACGACTGAGCCACCCAGGCGCCCCGACGTTAAGTTTTCTTCTAGCATTTTCTTTTCTGACCCATCAAACTTCTGTTCATCCTGGGCTTGAGTTTCCACTCTCTGTACAAATGATGGAAGCACTCGGCCCAGTGCTAAGAACACAGGCTCTGGACGCAGACCAACTTGGCTTCTGAGTCCATCTCTGCCCTGATTGGTTATGAGACCCTAAACTGATAAGCTCCTTAACTTCACTGTGCCTTAGCTTCTCTGTTTCTAAAGCCACTATGGTGTGAGATGATCTGAGATGAGGTATATGCAGAGCCTATCAGGGTGCCTGGCCACAGGAAGGCTCAACACTTGAGGCTCAATGCTTGAGAGCTGTTGTCACCAGGGTCCCAGCTTCATGGCTCCGTCAGCACTTCATAAATCTCATGTGGGCACTGAACTCACAGCCTTCCACCATGGTCTTAATATCCTGTCTTCTCTCTAGACCATGAGCCCCTTTAAAATTAAAAAAAAAAAAGATCTTACTCAAAGTTCTATCTCCAGTTCTAGCACAACGAAGGGCATGCGGTGGATTTAGTATGCATTTGCTGAACATGTGGTTAGATCGTGATGTGCGTATTTTATGATCTGCTGTCTTCATTTAAAGTTAGAGTTCAGGGCAACCCTCTCCAGTTCCCTCCCTCTTTGGGAGCTTTGTACTATTGCTCAATAAACTTTGCTTTACTATCATTCAATAAAAATAAAATAAAAAGTTGGAGTTCATAAACATTTTTCTCGGATTACGT